GGTGCTGTAGTAAAATTACTATTAGTAGTAAAGCAATATTAGAGTAATATTATAGTAAAATTCTATTATTTTCTGCTAGTCTACTACTTTCCAAAGTAGATTATAATCCCATTTCACAGAGATTTAAAACTTGCCAAAGGTTACAAATAGCTGGTATCAGGATTCAAAAACCATCCTCTTTCCACCACATTATGCTGAGGCCCCAAAGAGAGGTCAAGTTGTTTGTTTAGTCCAAGTCACACAGCCATTAATACCTGAAAATGAACTAGCATGTGAGGCTTCTTTTTAGTCACATTTTTTTTTCAACACTTTATTTATCTGACAGAGAGATAGCAAGAGCAGGAACACAAGCAGGGGGAGTGGGAGAGGGAGAAGCAGGCTTCCTGCGGAGCAGGGAGCCCGATGTGGGGCTCGATCCCAGGACCCTGAGATCATGACCTGAGCTGAAGGCAGATGCTTAACAACTGAGCCACCCAGGCGCCCCTTTTAGTCACATCTTAATAAAAGACATGGGAGATTACATGCTTGGGGAGGCTCGCTGTTGGTAGTGTCAACTCTTGCTGTCAAGGTCATGAGTTCAAGCCCCACGTTGGGTATAGAGACTATTTAAAAATATATATTTATATATATGTATATATATATACATCTTTGATAGGAGCCTATCAAACATCATACATCTCTCTTAGCTATATTCAACAAAGTCTTAGGGCCTACCACCCACCAAATACTTTATTATTATAAAACACTGAAATCAAAAAGAGGAGGAATAAGAAATGGAAAACTCGACCTAAATGCTGATATTAAAAGTTATGTTGAATAAAAAACTATGACCTCTTAGATTTATCTACAGGATTCAAGATTCCTATAAATATCATGTCCTTCTGGCACACTTAATACGTTACTTAAATCTACCTAAGACTTTTCAGAGACTTCTATCACTTAAAGAACAAACTCTGTTTTTGTTTTTTTTTTTAAGATTTATTTATTGATTTGAGAGAGTGTATGGCACAAGTGGGGGGGGGCCGGTGCCTGCAGAGGGAGAGGGAGAGAGAATATCTCAAGCAGACTCCACACGAAGTGTAGCCTGGAGCCGGAAATCATGACCCAAGCTGAAATCGAGTCAGATGCTCAACCTACTGAGCCACCCAGGCACCCCCAAACTCATCTTTTCAAAAACAGGAAAAAAAACAAAAAACCCACCTGGGGGCATCTGGGTGGCTCAGTCGTTAAGCGTCTGCCTTCGGCTCAGGTCATGATCCCAGAGTCCTGGGATCGAGCCCCGCATTGGGCTCCCTGCTCAGCGGGAAGCCTGCTTCTCCCTCTCCCACTCCCCTCCCTCTGCTTGTGCGCTTTCTGACAAATTTACTCTCTCAAGTAAATAAATAAAATCTTAAAAAAAAAATAAAAAAATAAAAATAAAAAAACCCACCTGAAACTAAGGTAACATTGTGTGTCAACTATACTTTTAAAAAAGGGGGGGGATTATTAAATTAGAACACTAAAGGAGACATAGTTTAAAAGAACTATATATATTTTGGTTTTGATTCTTCATTTAAAATATTATTAAAGGGGGGACGCCTGGGTGGCTCAGTAGGTTAAGCATCTGCCTTCGCCTCAGGTCATGATCCCGGGGTCCTGGGATCGAGTCCCACATCAGGCTCCCTGCTCGGCGGGTAGCCTGCTTCTCCTTCTACCGCCCTCTACTGCTCCCTCTGCTTGTGCGCTTTCTGACAAATAAATAAAATCTTAAAAAATAAAAATTAAAAAAAAGGGGTGCCTGGGTGGCTCAGTCATTAAGCGTCTGCCTTCGATTCAGGTCATGATCCAGGGGTCCTGGGATCAAGCCCCACATCGGGCTCCCTGCTCTGTGGGAAGCCTACTTCTCCCTCTCCCACTCCCCCTGCCTGTGTTCCCTCTCTCGCTGTGTCTCTGTCAAATAAATAAAATCTTTAAAAAATAATAAAATAAAATATTATTAAAGGGGCGCCTGGGTGGCTCAGTTGGTTGAACCTCTCCCTTCAGCTCTAGTCATGATCTCAGGGTCCTGGGATCAAGCCCCGCATTGGGCTCCCTGCTCCTCGGGGAGCCTACTTCTCCCTCTCCCCGCTTGTGTGTGTGCGTGCTCGCTCTCTGTCAAATAAATAAATGAAATCTTTTTTTAAAAAATAAATATTATCAAATACGAAATATCAAATATCAATATTAAAATAAGAGGGATTATAGGTTTTCTAATAGGGTATTTTAGTGACTATCTCCAACATAGCTAAGTAAAGAGAAGGAAGGGGATAGGAAAACTGCTATGCAGCTACACAACCAAACATAAATACTGGTTTCCAAGACAGTATATGTATGCTTAAAAAATAATTAAAACTATGCATCCAAAAACATGAAAAACTTGTAGTACAGCAGAAAAAAAAAAAAAACAGTATGCTTTTTAAATGTTCTTCTGTAGTCTTTGCACATGAATATGAATTTTCATTCCAAAAACACTATGTTGTGATTGTTTTATCTTCCCTATTAGACTGGGAATTTCTTTTTTTTTTTTTTTTAAAGATTTTATTTATTTGACAGGGAGAGACACAGTGAGAGAGGGAACACAAGCAGGGGGAGTGGGAGAGGGAGAAGCAGGCTTCCCGCCAAGCAGGGAGCCCGATGCGGGGCTCGATCCCAGGACCCTGGGATCATGACCTGAGCCGAAGGCAGACGCTTAACGACTGAGCCACCCAGGCGCCCCTAGACTGGGAATTTCAATAAAATATTTTCTCAAGGTGAGAAACCACCAATGAATGACCACCAATTCAGAGTAACAGCTGTCTCAGCTTCTGGATCAAAAGCATTGTTTGCACAGGGAAGGATTATATTTCTAACTCATAATCATCCTTAGAGCAAAATAAGTGGTAGTATTTACCTTCGCTGACAAATAAGTAATTAGTTTGGATTAGGAGGCCAAAGTCCTTAAAGTCAAAAGTTGCTGCATAGGAGGGGAAGAATGAAGGGGGGCAAATCGGAGGGGGAGACGAACCATGAGAGACTATGGACTCTTGAGAAACAAACTGAGGGTTCTAGAGGGTGGTGGGGGGCTGGGTTAGCCTGGTGATGGGTATCAAAGAGAGCACATATTGAATGGAGCACTGGATGTTATACGCAAACAATGAATCAAGGACCACTACATCAAAAACTAATGATGTAATGTATGGTGATTAACATAACATAAGAAAAAAAAAAGTTGCTGCGTAGATAAAAGGTAGATTCAATCCCAAGTACTTTCTGACAATCAAAAAGTTTGATGTAACCACATTTGTCCCTTTTTTACCTATACCCTACCTTTATTTCCCTGAGTTTCACCTTAAAAAAAAAAAAAGTATCTACCTAATACACTTATTTGTAGAATGAAATGATAAAATCTATACATGACCTAACTCACAACTTGGCATATTGGTACCTAAGCGTAGCTATTATTACTGTTCTACAGACAAATACATCATCAGTGGAAACACCAGTTTTCAAAGATTCAAATTTTAAAGTCTCTACTTAAAAAGTAGCATAGTCTGCCAGTACCAAAGTTTCCCAGGAAGCAGCACTGCCTTTAATTAATACCTGTTTAGTTTATAACTGACTGCCAGAACATAAATCATTTTAATAAATATAAAACTCTTCTGTAGTAAGAGGTAATGAATAATAAACTAAAGAAGTTCAGAGTTTCAATTTGGAAGTTTCGATTCTGGAAGTTTCAATTAATTTAACTTTCTTAGCATACTAATTTTTTTTAATTACACATGAAAATCATTCTGAATTGACTATGTCCTGTTTAGTTAGCTAACACTCCCTTAAAATTTCAAAATTTTTGTCTAACAATTTTCTATCCCAAAACATATGGGTCCTTTCAATATGCTCAAAACTCTTCTAGGCAACAAGAACTGAAACTAACACTTCTGAAAGCCCAAGTGTCAGGAACTGTTCTGAGCCCTAGAGCACCATTCATGTTTTATTCATCTTTGTATAGGTGACTACTTTAGTATCTGAGATACTGTTAAGTCAATAACACTGCTGAATAGTCAACAAAATAAAGCAGATAATTGAGCTACTTCTTACATTATTGCTCAGATTTGAAACAAACCCCAAATATCTCAGCCTTCAAAATTATTAACTATTTTGTGTATGCAAGGAAAATGGAGGTTCACTGTCGTATATCCTGAACCTCTAAAAGTTAAAATACTCAAATGTCATACATACTAAATCATAACTTAGAAATAAGTTTTTAGAAAACACCTAGATCCCTAAGGATTTTTTTCTCCCAATTTTTGTTCTATGAATACAATGGCACACTGATGGATCCAACATCAAATATGGTTAATTTTACTAATACGACTAAAAAAATTCAGAAATATCGATTCAAATAAAATATGTGTAGTGCTACCTAAGAAATCAATCGAGTAATGCATGACCATGGTTATTACTTTGAAATCGAGTACTCGCCAATCCGAGGATTTGAGAAGATAAAACGCAGGGTGAGACATCAATGGGAGTAAACCGCCGGGGAGGGGGAGGGGCGGGAAGGGAAAGGAAAAGATCAGAAGGATTAATTACTGCATTATCTGTGGAAGGAAAGAAGGTACCTAGGGACGACTGAAGAGGACCCCTTGCAAGGGGAATGGAAAAGGCTCCTTTTGCAGTTAGAAGAGACAGGGGAGTGGGAGGAGGGGCAACTATCAACAGGAATTTTCCCGGTGTGAATGGGTGCGTCACTTACGTAGCTGCTTCCAGAAAGAAAATTTGCCCTAAGGACAACCTCAATAAGCATTTGTGAAGGAAGGGGGAGTGACCTTCGTAGGTTTGATGGAGGAAACACACGGTCACTTCCCAAAGGACTGAGGAAGAAGACGTTCCCGTTGGTTCTCCCCGATCATCAGGGAACTGAAGAGATTGTGAGAAGCCCCCCCCCCCCAACTCAGGGCCCAGTCTGAGCTGTGAGAGACCCCGTGCTGAGCTGTGGGCGTTACCTGCAGGGTCACCTCCTGAGGGTCCCAGTGCGGCCGCAGGTGTTGCAGGAGGCTGAGGGCCCCCTCCCGGCAGCGCTGCTCCTCCTGATCCTGAACCGTGACGTCCAACTTGGGCACCTCCGGGGAGCCGTGCGGAACGTGGATGTAATTGGCCATGGCCCAGGCGACGGCAGAGACTACCACCACGACGACGGCGACGGCGACCACGAGAACGGCGGGCGCCGACAGGCTGGTGGATCCTTCCGTCCCGGGGCGCCCTCGCAGGAGGGCTAGGGGCGCTCAAACTGACGGGCGAGCGGTAGGAGAATGGCTGGACGCGGCACTTTAGCCGACCCGGGTCTGGACAGCAGCTGAACTGAGCAGAGGATGTTCACGGGAAAAATTCCGCTCGTCTGCGCTCCACCGACAGCGACCGCGGAGCATGCTGGGACTGGCCTGACGCTGGCGTCATGCGCAGGGCGGGGCCTCCGTCTGCGTCAGAGGCTGAAGACGACATTCTAACCTCGAGCACAATGGGCCGGCTGCTGTGAGCTCGGTTTTTTGGTCATAAAACACTCGGCCAGGTTTGTTACTAGTCCGAAAACGCAGGCTCCTCCTCGGGCATGAGCCTGATCTCTGACAAGACCCGAAAGGCTGTGAAGCTTTAGCTCAGCTGAGGAGCGTTTGGGGGGCTGGGTTTGAGTTACGGCTGAGTTTTTCAGGGAAGCGAGGGGCATGCCCTGAAATAACCCCCGGAAAAGTCTCTGAATTTGGCCTGAGTATGGGCAAGGGGGATTAACTGGATCGCCCTGGCCGCAGAGCTGCTCTCTACTGTTGACCGCACAGTTGTTTGGGCAACTAAATTCCCATCAATTGTATACTGAGATCATGGTATTTGGGGCAAACTTGAGATATTTGTGTAAGACAACGACAGGACTTCAAGATTTATTTTTAAGGCCAAATGTTTGACCATACTGAGAATTTTTTTTTTTTTTGAGCTTATTTATTTCGGGCGCCTGGGTGGTTCACTTGGTTAAGCGACTGCCTTCGGCTCAGGTCATGATCCTGGAGTCCCTGGATCGAGTCCCGCATCGGGCTCCCTGCTCAGCAGGGAGTCTGCTTCGCCCTCTGACCCTACCCCTCTCGTGTGCTCTCTCTCTCATTCTCTCTCTCTCGAATAAATAAAATCTTTTTTTAAAAAAAGATTATTTATTTCACCAAGAGAGAGAACATAAGCAGGGGGAGCGGGAGAAGCAGGCTTCCCACTGAGCAGGGAGCCCGATGCGGGGCTTGATCCTGGGACCGTGGGATCACTACCCAAGCCGAAGGCAGACGCCTAACGACTGAGCCACCCAGGCACCCCACCCCGAAAATTATTGAGAGCCAGGAAAAACAGGTTGTAGTCTAGGATGAAGATGAAGGGAAGGGAAGGAAAGAAAAATAGTTTTGAGACTCAGCGCTACAGTGGCTCCATGCCTATTTCAGGGTATTCCTGCATGGACCTTAAAATAGCTACCTTAAAAACTTTTAGCTTCCAAGTTTTATAGCAGCTGTTTCCCCTGTTAAGGTAATATTGGAAAGTGGATAATCCAGAAGTAATTTACTGGGACCTCCTAATTTTCTTTATGATTTAGGAAAATGGTGTAAGATGTGACTTACTAATCTGTCTTCCCTGAAATACTTAGAACATGGTGAATATGTTTAGTAGTGGTAAATTAAATCACTAACTGGATTCAACTTAATTAACATTCAAGTGCTTAATTGCCTCCTTAACAGAAGTTTACATTCTGATTGTTCAGAATGAACCTACTTAGTTTTGTAAATCACAAAATAAATAGCTCACTATCAATAAGGGTAAACTCATTAAAAAGAATAAGAGGGGTGACTGGGTGGCTCAGTTGGTTACGTGTCCAACTCTTGATTTTGGCCAAGGTTATGAACTCAGGGTGGTGAGATCAAGGCCCCAAGGGGGAGTCTGCTTGAAATTCTCTCCCTCTCCCCCTCCTTCCCAACACATGTGTGTGCTTTCTCTCTCTCTCTAAAATAAATTTTGGGGCACCTGGGTGGCTCAGTTGGTTAAGAGTCTGTCTTCAGCTCAGGTTATGATCTCAGGGTCCTAGGATCCAGCCCCGAGTTGGCGTCCCCACTCAGGAAGGAGTCAGCTTTTTCCCTCTCCCTCTGCCCCTCTCTCTGCTCATGCTCTCTCTCGCTCTGTCTCTCAAATAAATACAACCTTTAAAAACATAAAAAAATAAAATAAATAAAATTTTTTTAAAAAGAAGAGAAACAAAATATAGTGTTAAAATACAGCAAGGGACTTGAATCAACATTTTCTAGACTTTGGCTTTTTTTTTTTTAAATCATGTACTATAAAAAACATTACACATTCCTTCCAATTTGGAGAGAAATAATATACTAATACTTTCACATTTCAGATAGTATCTCTTGTATTTTTGTACAATTTGTATGTATTTTATACTAAAAGAGTTGACATTTCAGGAATTTTAGAAATATATTTTGAATTATAAAATAATAGCAAATTACTAAAAAATTATTTTGAGGGGCACCTGGCTGACTGAGTCAGTAGAGCATGCGACTCTTGATCTCGGGGTTGTGAGTTTGATCCCCTTGTAGGGTGTAGAGATTACTTAACAATTAAATCTTAAATTATTTTGAGAACTGCACAAGTTTGTAATTTTAAGGAAGCATCCATTAACAGGAAAAAAAAAAAAACTATTAGGTACCTAAGAATAAAACTAACAAAAGATGTGCAAGGCCTTAATGGATAAAATTATATTAATGGACAAATCTTTTCATAAACAAGAAAAGATACATACAAAGATCTCAGTTTTCACTGAACTAATCAATAACTATAATGTATTAATAATTAAAATCTCAACAGGGTTTTTCACAGAATGTGTTAAAATGACATTAAAACTCATACCAAAACTTAGGGTCCAAGAAAAGCTGCTATAATTTGTGGTGGAAGGAGGGTTGCAGAATAAGTTGGGAGAACCCCTTCTACTAGGATTTATTATGTAACAGTTTAGGAATGGGCAAATAGACCAGTAGTACCCAATAAAATTTCCGGAAAAAGACCTAAACATATATGAGGTGGCATTGAAAGTTAGGAAAAGATGGGCTAGTCGATAACTATTACTGGAATAATTGCCATTCAATTGCCATTCAGATGGGGGAAAACTTATCCCTCCAGATTATGTATAAAAATCAATTCTGGGGACCCGGGTCTGGACAGCAGCTGAACTGAGCAGAGGTCATGATCCCAGGGTCCTGGGATCGAGCCCCACATCAGGCTCCCTGCTCTGCGGGAAGCCTGCTTCTCCCTCTCCCATTCCCCCTGCTTGTGTTCCCTCTCTCTCTGTCTCTCTCTGTCAAATAAATAAATAAAATCTTTTAAAAAAATTAATTCTGGAAGATTAAAAACCTTAATGTTACAAACAAAACTTTATAAAAGAGTGGTGCCTGGGTGGCACAGCCGGTTGAATGTCCCACCCTTGATTTAGGTTCAGGTCATGATTTTGGGGGTGTGGGATTGAGCCCTATGTCAGGCTCCACACTCAGTGGGGGGTCTGCTCCTCTCCTTCTCCCTCTCCCTCTGCCGCAGCTCATGCAAACATAAGAGCACCCATTCTCTCTCTCTAAAATAAATACATAAATCTTTAAAATATATATATAAGAAATGTCCTTTCTTATCAACTTGATCTATATATTCGATGCAGTTCCAATGCAAATCCCAACAAGTTATTTTTGTGCATATTGACAAACTGATTGTAAAGTTTATATGGAAAGGAAAAGGACCCAGATTAGTCAATGAAATACTGAAGAAGAACAAAGTCATAAGACAGACGCTACCCAACCTCAAGACTTACTATAAAGCTACAGTGATCAAGACAGTGAAGTATTAGCAAAGAATAGACAAATTAATGGAACATGATAGATAGTGCAGAAATATATTCACATAAATATAGTTAACTGATCTTTGAAAAAGGAGCATAAGGCAATTCTTGGAGAAAGGATAATTTTTTCAATAAATGGTGCTGGAAGGACTTGATGTCCATATACAAGAAAAGAGGAATCTAGACATAGACTTGATATCTTTCTGAAAGTTAACTCAAAATGGATTATAGACCTAAATGTAAAACAAAACTATAAAATTCTTAAGACAAAACATAGGAGAAAATCTAAGTGACCTTGGGTTTAGATACAACATCAAAAGCATAATCCATGAAAGAAAAATTAGTGAGTTGGACTTCATTAAAATTAAGAACTTTTGCTCTGTGAAAAACAGTTAAGAAAATGAAAAGTCAAACCACATGACTGGGAGAAAATATTTGCAAAACACTTGTCTGATAAAAGACTTGTGTCCAAAGTATATAAAGAACTCTTAACAATAGGGGGAAAAAAATTTCAAAATGGGCAAAGGCGGGGGCGCCTGGGTGGCTCATTCGGTTAAGCGTCAGACTCTAAATTTCAGCTCAGGTCATGATCTCAGGGTCATGAGATTGAGACCCATGTTGAACCTGCTTAAGAGTCTTTCTCCCCCTCTCCTTCTGCCCTGCTCCCTAAGCTCTCTCTCTCCTTCCCTCTTTCTCTCTCTCTCTCAAATAAATAAATCTTAAAAAAAAAAAAAAAAAGACCTGAGCTGAAATCAAGAATAAGAAGCTTAACTGACTGAGCCACCCAGGCACCACAGGACTGATAGGTTTTTTATAATATAATTGACTATGTAATATTATCAAAAAAGAACTATTATTCAGAATACCACTAATAAGAAAACCAAACCACTCAATAGAAAAATGGGCAAAGAATATCAATTCTCAGAAGATGAAATCCAAACAGCCAATAAACTTAGGAAAATAATCAAAGTAATGCAAATTAAAACAATAATGAGATACCATTTTATATCCATTAGATTAGAAAAAATTGAATTCCTATAATGCCAATTTATATTATTATTTTCTTTCCAATTGTACATTACTGATGGGAAAGTAAATTTATTGGAAAAAAAACTTTGGAGAGCAATATTGCAATATTAAAGTTGAAGATAGGTAGGTATTCTTTACCACTCACAAATTTCCAATTCCAGATACATACAAAAGTCCCACACATATACATGAGAAAGTGTGCAAGAATGTATACTGCAGTATTGTTCAAAATAGCTAAAACTGTCAACAACCTAGCTATCCTTCATTAGGGAAATGATTGGATGAAGATAGATACAAACATACATACATACATACATACATAGATAAGGAATATCCCACAGTGGGGCGCCTGGGTGGCTCAGTCGTTAAGTGTCTGCCTTTGGCTCAGGTCATGATCCCAGGGTCCTGGGATAGAGCCCCACATCGGGCTCCCTGCTCGTCAGGAAGACTGCTTCTCCCTCTTCCACTCCCCCTGCTTGTGTTCCCTCTCTCACTGTG